CATCTACGAGTTGTTTAATATTTTGTTTTAAAAATCCTGATCAGGTGTGATGACTTTGTTTTGCGGGTGGTCGTTGTTGGTCTTTTGGACATATTAGTTATGAAGTTTTCTTATGTATATAAGAAATAAAGTTTCATAACGAGACTTTGTATTTTTAATTTTCCGTTTTGTATATCGAGTTTCGTTTATGTTGAGTACCGTAATGGCCGTTTGGGGACGGTCTTTACAAGAAGAAATCAACTTAAAACATTTACAGGCACATAAATGATAACACCTGCTTTGAATGAATAAGTTTTAGCCTATGATAGGACCAACTTAATTAGATAAAAGTTTTTAAATAAAGTCTAGTGGTAATAAATAAACACAAGCTAGATTCTTTGAACTAAAATTTATGATACCATTTACATCCCCGTCAAGAGTTAATTATATTCGTCATATGTTATAGCAAATTTAGCTCATCTATCCCAGTAATCCAACAAATGAACTAAGAACATTAGTTTGATTACACAGAAAAATTTAAGAACTATATACGAATCATATACCATCAACCTTTGAATTAAGATGATTTAAGACCTATGAATGAATCTTGGCCCAAAATTCTTCTTAGATTAAGAATGTAATGAAATAACATATGAGAATATTTAGAAGGTTGAATGGCTTCACAATGATTATCCTTCGATTGGGGATTTAAATATCACTACTTATTCATTACAAATTATGGTATACTCTTTAGTAAAATATAAAGATAAGACCAATAAAATGAACATTATTTGACATATGACCACAAAATGTATAGAGAAACATGGACGGAGGCTCCGATTCACAACCAAATATTACAGATTAAAAAAATCAAATCTTTGGTTTGGAAACTTAGGTTCACTAACTTTTTCAAAGCTACCATTTAGAAATCAAAGCATGTTATAAGTGGTGTTTATTTCTTAGAAGATATGGAAGTAAACCAATTAATATAAAAACCATGAATTGAAGCGGAACATCCATAAACACTGTATCATTACAACTATAAGAATACCTGGTCTTGGAATGTTTTGGACTCATTACAAAACACTATATCAGGTTCTTGTGACATGCTCTATAAGTAACTGAGATCCTCTTGAGTGAACCGATTGTGATCATTCTTGGCCGTCCAGCCAAAATTATATGTTCGACGGACTGGGGAACATGTTGATGAAGCGAGAGGGTGAAGAAGTGAAGTAAAAAGGCTATGGACAAATATGAGGGATGCCTGATTACTCATGGCAAAATATTGGGGGAGGCATGAGATGGGGCAATTTTGATACTCTCAAAGATGAGAAGGGGGGAGGGTTCAGAGGGTGCGATGATAGTAGAGCGAAATGATGATTTATTGATCCGATGAAGAATGGATGGTGGTAGATGTTAATTAGGGTATCGACGCTAGAGATGCCAAGTGAGGGGCGGGAGAATGAACATTAGCAATTGTATTGCTTTTATGTATTAGATTATCAAAATAATAATGTAAATATGATTACAGCATTAATTATTGTATATACATTAGTAGAGAAATGGGTTCCCACGACGCTTTATAATTGCCTACAACGATGCTAAAAAGCGTCACAAGCACTTTTGTGTCGATATACAACTATAAAGTGTCGTTATATTTGAGGCACTCTTCATGAACCTATCAAGGATACACAATAAGCGTTGCAAAATATTCAATTACATTTAACAAGCACCTTTTATGATAAATTCTGTAAGTTTTAATATTGCACCTGTTGTTTTCATAATAAATTATATAATATTCAAAACTGTACGATAATAGTATAAAAGAGAGAATTGCTTCTTAAAATGTATCATCAAACTATTCAAGAACAATAAAGGCTTTGCATACTAAATCAAAATTATCGAGTGATGTTTATACAATATTAATTTAAGAACAACAACAAAGAAACTATTGTATCAAGATATCCATCATCTTCTGATATTCTTTTAAACTGGTCCCAATCTTTCTGTCTTTGGTGCTTTTGTAATGCAAAATCTGCAAGAAAAGAACAAAATAAAATTAATGACTAAAACTATTTGAAGACATAACAACACATCTAAGCAACTAGAATACTCATAATTACCAATAGATTAAAAAAACTCCTTACTAATGCTCCATTGCACGTGTTAATTAGATTTTAAGTAGGGTTCCAATACAGCAAAAGCAGTAGATAAGCAACATGATCTCCATTACTTTATTTTGTGTTATATTTTGCTTTTCTTTGTAAGACTTTTTATGTATTAAAACCAACTAAAAGTTTGATTCTTACATTCCTTTTATTTTTTGGAGATGCTTTGATAAGTAATGACCTTTCCGCAGTGTAGCATACTTAACAAAGAAGTTAATATATATCCTTCACTAAATTGTACGAAGTATGCATTATTGCAAGTTAAGATCAATAGAAAGTGTCATTCAATATTAGTGATGCAATTAACAATTTAGTTTAAGTCAAACTGAAAACTAAAATTCAGAGAAGAAAAACCTTTGATAGAAGAATAATAGGGACTGCCCTCATCAAGATGCTTTAGAAGAAGCAACATCACCCTATATCAAACAATATAAAAGTTTGTAATTGCAATTCAATAATAAGTATTCAAAGTAAGTAGATATATAAGATAAAAAATTACTCTAAATATAGTACTCCCTCATTAGTATTCTGAAGTTCTAAATCCACATCAAAATTTGAAGCAGTGAAATTAGAATAGTCTGAGTCAGAACCATAATGACTTTGCCACTTCCTTTTCAACTTCATAACCTCAAGCATTTATTTACACTTATTTGAGTCTAAAGCATTGTGTTTGTTTAAGGGAAATACCCTTAAACACTTATTAACACTTTTAAATTTCTGATAATTGGTAAGAAATACGTAGAAAGTTTTATGCTGTTTTTATGGTCATAACAAAACTAATCCACTCATCTTTTCCACATCTTCCAGATAATAGACTCCAAATATACTTTGGTAGGCCAAATAATCAGCCATCACATATTGCTTGCAACAATAGATTTTGCCTACATCATATCCGGCCCATTTTCAGTAGAAAGCATTCCGGTGAGAGTTGGGAGTTGTGCGAACAATGCAATTCTTATAGAGTTCTAGCCGAAATGATGCATTTCAATTACCTAATTATAATTAAAATATTGATGAAGTACCAGTAACATACATAAACAAGGCAAACAAACTAGCAATAGTCTCAAATTTGAATAGAAATATAAAATAATATAGATCAAAATCCTATGAATGAAAGTACATATTAATTTTAATATATAATAAAAAGTATTGAAGAGGTTTTAATCATATATGAATGGAATAAATACCAAGAGATGAAGATCGAAATGCTTTGGCTAAAGCGACCGGCTCTAAGTAGAGGTATCATACCGCTTCACAACTCTAACCAGTCCAGTGATTCACAACTTTAACAAGTATCTAGGTCGTCTCACTCTGAGAAAGCATGGCAATTTCGCAGATGAAAAACCTTAACAAGAGAATTTAGATCACAGCGGCAACCAGAGAAGATCGGCGCTTGGAAACACAGTTTTGGGCAAGGTTCTTCAAGAGGCGGAAAAAAGAGTACCTGAACCAAAGAACGACGTTTGGGAAGCAGCAGTAGATTTATTCCGTATATCTTTTACAATACTCCATTTTATCCAGCCTTTTAATTAAAATCATCTCCCAAAAATGGGAGCTTTAATTAATTACGGAGTGGAATCGTTCATTATAAACTGTCCGTATAGATAAAAAAAATGTTGAACGTGGCTGATACGGAGGAATATTTTTTAAAGGGAGAACTATAAAATAAGCCCTCGAACTTACATAAAAAGTGCAAATAAGCCCTTTTATAGGAGGCTTTGTCCGGTCATCGCCGTTTGGGGAGGTTCCCGGTGGAATTTTTTGATGAAACTTTTTGAACATCTTCTTCATTAAGTCTAGTTTACGCATACTAAATTTCAGCTAAACCTTCAACCGAGAAGGCAGTCAAATGATTTTCAAAATATACTGCGTTGTTTAACTTCGCAGTTATTTTCAAAAATTCATTTGAGTGCCTTCTCAATTGAATATTTAGCTGAAACTCGGTATGAGTAAACTAGACTTAATTAATAAGATTCTCAAAAAAAATCATCAAAAAATTCCACCGGGAATCTCCCCAAATGGCGACGGACAGACAAAACCTCCTATAAAGGGCTTATTTGCACTTTTTATGTAAGTTCGAGGGCTTATTTGATAGTTCTCCCTTTCTAAAAAAAACTTATAATGACAGTTTTTTTGTTTTTTCAAAAGTGACTCTATAACAACGATTTTGTAAGAACATGTGTTGTATGGACCATTTTATTTAATTGTGATTTGAAAATAAAAAGTTATCCAAAATAGAAACGCATATCAGGGGCGCTTTGTATAAGCACTTCTAATATGAGAACTTATGTGACTCTACTTAAGCGCCTCAAAAAGCTTCTTTCCTAGTAGTGATAACAACAACACTAATAATCAAAAGAATAACAATATTTATTGATACTAAAATATACAAACAGTAGTACTGATAATATATATTTGGATGAGATCAGAAAGATTAAGGTCATATAAAAATATCATATAAGATCGGATTATAAAAGTTTAGATTAGATTAGATCAAAATAAGAAAGACTCAAATCAACAACATTCATATTAGGTGAACCGGAAAACTTCTAGATAAACTGGATATTTACTTTCTTTCTAAGTTCATCAGACCAATTGATATTTGAACTTCTTGACCATAATATTAGTTCATTAGTTGATAATGACATACAAATTTCTAAGAAAAAAGTATGTCGAGCTTAGACAATTATGTCAAAGAGTTCAAGTGGTACTATGAACCAAAATATATTAATTAATATAATTAGGGTACTAAATTGCTTCATTTAATTGTTTGGTACCAAAATGCGCACATATAATTGGTTACACTTATCGTGCCATTCATGTTATTATCCCGATCAGAACAAAATGTACAATATAGGATATAAATTTCTACAATATTATTGCATTTGCATTATGTAAATTAAAATGCCACCATATAAGCTCTCACATAAGACAAAACTAGATGGGATCAAGAGTGCAACACAATACAAGTTATTATCATAGAGATGGAATATTTAAAACACAAGAAAAACGATGTTGTGAACTCTGAATATAATTATAAATGGAGTAGTTACATTAATCAACAAGCTTTATTAATATCTTGCTCGATCATATCCTGAACCTTTGACCAAGCAGGCCTGGATAAGAGATTGGAAACCCATGCAGCAACATGTGGACGTGCTTTAAAAAGAATCTTGACTTTAGTACCCATGAGGGAATGTACAAGAGGTGTGTGGTAAAGATCAGCCAATGTGAAAGAGTCTCCAGCCAAGTACTGCGACACTTTTAGTCGTTCCTCATAAATGTCAAGAACCTTGGTGAGTGTCTCCTTGTGCGGCGCTACTGCAACATCATTAATCACCATGCCGAGCATGGGCCTTATGATAAGCTCATAATGCAACTCACATGCCGCCACATCAAATTGGTGAGCTTCAACCTCTATCCACACTGACATGATCGCCTTTTCTTTATGGTCTAAGGGGACAATATGGCTCCCACGATCAATATATGTGTGTGAAATGTATTGGGTGATTGCTCTTGACTCTACAAAATCAATCAACAACTACATACTTTGAGTATTAAGTTTATAAAGTGGCTCAATCACTACACGTATAATGCATTTCAAAGCACATTAATATAAAAAATCTAGTTCAAACCATGAGTCAATGTAACGAATATTAAGATTTGAAGTTCCATCTGAAAAGGATTAACCTTATATGAAGAGTCATTGAATATTTTATGTGTGAGTTTGCAGATTTTTATTTGATGGTGTGAGAAAGAAGTGTATATGTAAATTTCTATTTTTATATATGGATATTGTGTAGGATGAGTTAATACGCCCTATAAGATGCTAACTCATTATAAGATATGTCTCACCTTAAATTGAACAATAAAGAATATGTACTCTAAGGGTTTATATGTTTTCAACTTGGCTACTGTTGGTTGAAATACAACTTTAAACCCTTTAAAACAGATTGAGAGCCCGTTTGGTAGCACCAAAATCGGCTGATTTAGTTGATTCTGCTGAAATTTATGAAGTTATGGCTGAAGTAGCTGCATTGGCTGATTCTGCTGATTTAAGAAAAAAATAAATTTATAGTATATTTTATTAATAAAATAAAGAAAAAATTATATGTAAAAATAGCTAAAATGATCATCTACAGTAACTTCAGCCAATACAACCAGAAAAAGTAACTCGAACCTTACTTTTTCTGCTTATTACACAATTCAGCGCGTGAAAGCAAAACTTACGTGTTTGGTGAAAAAGTTGGTTGATAAGCCTGATAAGCCGAAAAACGGTGTTGCCAAACGGCCTCTGAGTTTGTGCTATATTCATCTTACATATTCTTTAAATGGACATATATCTGTGTAAGTCTATTTTTAATCTCTCTTTAAGGTTCAGAAATTTAATAGTGTTGATTTATATTTACAAATCCTCTATATATATTTTGTGTTCCAACTACATAATTGTTTTACACCCTTCTTTTTTCATTTGCTGATTTATGGAGTATATATACTTTATTTAATATACTAATTTGGCTACACACTGCTATTTTTTAAGAATATAATTTCGATGTTTTTAAAGTTCAATTGCTTTCATTGTTGTGGTGCATGTATAAAAATCACTAGTATAACGCACCACTCTTCACTAGCATAAAACCGAAAAAAGAGGCGATAGAAAAGGAAGAGAGTAACTTGCTAAATCACAAAAATGATAGATGATAGCTATATGAAATATGGATAACTAAATTTATTATTTGTATTATTGATGACAATTAATGTAAGATGAAAATGATGAGCGTTTGTTCATTGATGGAATATAATGTTTTTACTGTTTTTATATTAAACGTGTACTGAAAAAAGAGTTAAATGGACCCCTAAACTTATACAATTTATTCAACCCTCCTTGAACTTAAATAAGCTCCAATACACACCATCAACCCATTAAAAAAATTCAAATCCCATGTTTAACATGTAAAGGGAAGGAATTGAGCAAATTGTATAAACTCTGTTCATACCCGACATGCAGAAACACACTTTGTTACTAGTAGCGCATAAGAAATATTTTCCCCTTTCCCTTTTAATTGTAACAGTCAACATTTCACATTTGTCAACACACAAGTTTGACCATTACTATCTTTCATTCCCTATTAGTAAAAATGTTTAAAAATTCATATTTTGAAAATTTAGAATGAGAAGAATTTAACAATATATTTTAAAAATTTAATTTATAATAAATTAGTTAATATAAGGGAAAAGGGTCAGATAAGGCCTCGAACTTACAAAAAAATGTCAAATAAGGCCTTATATAGGAGGTTCTGTCCGGCCGACGCCATTGGGGACGGTTTCCGGTGAAATTGTTCAATGAAACTTTTTTAGCATCTTATTCATTAAGTGTAGTTTACTCGTACCAATTTTAAGATAAAACTTCAATCGGGAAGGCATTAAAATAAATTCTTGAAGATAAGTGCGCAGTTAAAAGCGCAGTTATCTTCAAGAATTTATTTGAATGCCTTCCCGATTGCATTTTTAGTTGATATTCGGTATGAGTAAACTAAACTTAATGAATAAGATGCTCAAAAAATTTCATCGAAAAAATCCACCAGGAACCATCCCAAATGGCTTCGGCCGGACAAAACCTCCTATATAAGGCCTTATTTGACATTTTTTTGTAAGTTCGAAGCCCTATGTGACCCTTTTCCTTTAATATAATATAGTCAAAATAGAATATGTTAATAATGAAAAAAGTCTAATGTTGCAATTAAAAGAGAACGGAGGTAGTAACAACAACCATAATAATAACAATAACGATAACAACATATGTAACATTAATTACCAAAGAGTATCAAATCTCCATCCTCGATGGCTGGCACCTGACCAAATGGCTGCAACAATAATGAACCGAAGTTGGAAGACATGAAATAACATGTATTGATACCAATACACACAAGCAAATAAGTGTTCGAGAAATATTAACTTCGTATGTAATTATTATAATTAAGTACAGTTTAATCACGTACATTAAGGCGAAGGAAAGGTTGTTTTTTGTGCTCTCCGGCCGAAAAATTAATAGAAACAAGCTCGTAATCGAGCTCCTTCTCTTCAAGACAGGCAATAACTTTCAACAGCGCTGGTGATAACAAGATGCCGTGTACCTTAAGCGCCATCTTTTCCGGTAACAAGTACGATGTTGGTAGACCACACTCTTTGTAATTATTTAAGCTTGGAGTTATAGAGATTGTTTCTCTCTCAGAGTGTTATTTATAGACTTGTTGAGACTCTTCCGATCCAAATATTATCTTCTCTTTCCTCTAACAGCCGTCTCAGAGTAAAAAAATAGAATGAAAGTTATTTTGACATATTCACAAAGTCATTACAAGCTTTCATAAATGAACTTTCACTACAGCTAGCACATACCAGGACCTCGGGCTTTTGTGATTTCTTTTGAAATAGATACAATGCTTTTCCAAAAGCATTATGTTGGCACTTTAATTGATATAAAATTATATTTATGAGATTATAAATCACTAAAAAAACAGTAATTTATTGAAGAGGACATCATTAAATTATATGTTTTACTGGAATTACCATTTTTAAAGAAGCATTTTCAAAAAAATGTTTTTGTTAAATTCCAAAGAAACATTGAATTATTACTGCTCATATAGTCAATAAAGAAGTTTGTTTTTCAATAAAGATAAAGTTTATGTCTTTATTCCTCATTCATAGCACTAGATTACGACAATTTGTCTCTAGAATAATGAGTTCTTATACACTATTAGTTTTTACCACTATTCTATTTTTTGGATAAAATGTAAATATATATATATATATATATATATATATATATATATATATATATATATATATTTATATATATATATATCCAAAGTGTTTATGTACAACTGTACAGTCCCCAAAAACTCAAAAACAAGGTCATCCCAAGAAAGGATACCCTATCACCTCGCAAAACCCCATCTAGCTACATAAGCATGCTAGCCATCACAAAAACCGGTGACGAAACAGCAAAAGACAAAACTTAAAATGTTATTCTATCAAACGGATACATAGCATAGAGAATTTTATACACCATGAACTTAATGTTCTTAGCCATGTCTTCCACCTTAGGTTGGATCTTCTCAAAGCATATCATGTTCCTTGTACGCCATATCCAATATACGCTGTAGCAAAAAGCAAGTCTAACTCCCTTGGCCTTTGCATGCGCTCCATTATGCTCTTTCTTTATCCATTTAGCTGTACTCAACAATGTACTCATCCTCCTTGACAGTCCAAGCCAATTCTTCACCAAGGTCCAAACCTGTCCTGTAAAAGTACATTCAAAATATAGGTGTGGCACCGTTTCCGGGCCACCCTTACAAAAAGACAAGCATCATTGATATCTAGCTAAAAAACCCAAGCTGTCATATGTGGCTAGACGGACCGATTAATCGGCCTAGTCAACCTAGTTGACCTAGACGTCCCCAACTGTGGAGGATTAATCGGTCTCGTCAGTCAAAAGTCGGCCTAGTCGGCCGTCTAGGCGCTCGGCGCCCCTCAATCACCCGACTGACATCTAGCGAGTTTTAGAACAATGATTTTTACACGCACGATGCACGATTAACTAAGTGCCCAATTCATTTTTGTGGTATAGACTTTCATGTTATGCCCCTAATTTGTTTTAGGCTAAAGGGTCAAATAGGTACATGAACTAACTTAAAGTGTTCAATTAGCCCCTTATATAGGAGGTTTTGCCCGACCGTCACCAATTGGGGCGGTTCCCGGTAAAAAATTTTGATGAATTTTTTTGAACATCTTCTTCATTAAGTCTAGTTTACCCATATCATATTTCAGCTAAAAATTAAATCGGGAAGGCAGTCAATTGATTTTCGGAAATGTACTGCGTTGTTTAACTGTGCAGTTATCTTCAAAAAATCATTTGACTGCCTTCCCGGTTGAATTTTTAGCTGAAATTTGGTATGAGTAAACTAGACTTAATGAAGAAGATGTTAAAAATAGTTCATCAAAAAATTCCACCGGTAACTTTTTCCAATTGGCGACGGCCAGACAGAACCTCCTATATAATGGGCTAATTGAACACTTTAAGTTAGTTCATGTACCTATTTGACCTTTTAGCTTTTTTTTATGTTTGGACAAGGAAGAAGTATACGCTCCTTAAAATATGACCATTCAAAGTTATGCATATTAGAGAACGTTCAAAGCAGTCCTGATATTTAAAATACAACACATAACCCTATGTACCAAAAGAAGTGTTACATAGACCATGTTTGCTACCGAGTATTAAAAATCAATAATTGACTCTAGATTATGAGCAAATGATATAATGAGCAAGTTAAACAATTCTTTGTTACTTGAGCTAACAGTAAATAAATCCTAGTTAAACAATTCTTTCCCTCGTTGCATTTTTGTTATTCTTCAGTGCCCCATCTGCCTACTTATGATTTTCATTTATTATTTATAGATCATGTTGAGGTTTAATTATTCCATCAACCCAAAGGTCCAACACTTTTCCCTTGGATTTCGAGTGGGGAGTTTAATGGATTTACGATGCAAGCGAGTAAGGTGGATCAATAAGAGAGTAGTAAGTGGGTCGTATCTTATTAAATGATAATAAGGGCCCGTATACAACACACTTCAACTACTAGCCGAGAGGCCGTTCATCTATATCAATGTTAAGAGCTAAGATAATTGCTATTTGCTAGAGAGAATAAGTTGTCAACTATTTACAATGAAATAAATGCTACTATTTATACTACCACAGAGTAGGTAGTATTGCTGACGTGGAGGACCGTGGACGGCTAGCTTCCCAACCACCAAATCTACTGCATTAAATGCGCCTCCTGACAATATCTTAGTTTCCCACCAAGGCTACGGACGAGCGTCCCCGGATCTTGGGCCCTGGATCCTGATGAGTGCAAGGGCCGGGATCCGTACAGCCTATGCAAGTTGCCTGGTTGTAGATCCTGGAATGTTATATGTTCTTTGTTTGGACAAGGTCATTGAGGCCGAGCGTCTTGATGTATCCGACGCTAGTCCCCTCGTAATCTTGATAGTCTATGTTCTTTAACAATCAAATAATCGTAACAGATAAAGAAGAAGCATATAGAAAGATATGGAGCTGAACAACGAATCTAGTATACCGTGATAATGGCCGATGCTCTCCCTCGAAGAGGAGAGCAGCGGAAACCTTAATCTCTATCTCGCCTCTATGCTCTCGAGCCTCTCAAAACCTTAGGATTTCCATAAGTTAGTCTCCTTTTATAGGAGAAGTTGGCTAAATTGTGGATTACAAAGAAGCTAATGGGCTTATATACATATGTGGCCCATATTACACGTTTAACTAATAACTATACAAATACAAAGATATTAAATTAGATTAGACACCATAAAATATTCCTAACAATCTCCCCCTTGGTGTTCAATCGTGTTGAATCAGCATTGCAGCGCATATATCTTTGTCTTTGTTGTTATTCAGCTTCCTTTGTCTTTGAAGTTGACTTCTTGAGAAGGCTTTCTGAAGAAATCCTTGCAATCTCCCCTTTGATGTTCAATCGTGTTGAATCAGCATTGCAGCGCAGATATCTTTGTCTTTGTTTTTATTCAGCTTCCTTTGTCTTTGAACTTGATTTCTTGAGAAGGCTTTCTGAAGAAATCCTTGCAATATCCCCTTTGATGTCTTCTTGGCAATTTGAGCTTTGATGCCAGGGTTGAGGAATCTTTCGTTGGTTTGCTTGTAAACCTTGCCTTCAGAAGTAGCCCTTGATCAGCTTGAATGAAGTCCGATGGAGCCTCTAGAATGAATGTTCTTGAAGAATTGCAGACGCACATGGAAATCATCTTCAGAATTCGAGTAAGTGACCTTTGTCTCCTCCGCAATGTAGTCTTTTTTACTATTTGGAATGAATGTGTTTGAGGAAAACTTGTCGGTGGCACAACGGATCATAATGATTGACATGTAAGCATAGTTGACCATTTGATTTGAAGCTTTTGATGGATATAGGAGAGAAAGTGTTGGAGGAGAGAAGTGTCCCAGAATAATTTGTTGAGAGTTAACAGCATGTGGACAAGTCTCCCCCTCATGACGATCCGATGAATCGGGGCGTCATGCCTTTATTCTTTTATTCTGGAAAAAAAAAAGAAAAACAAACAGAAAGGTAAAGTGAACAAAACCGGATACACTGAGGTGTTCCGTTAACACAACATTAATGTAAACACTGATGTGTGGCCTGTATAAAATGATAGAAGCATTACAGTTTTAACAGGACTTCCAACCAGTCATTGTGAAGCATCCGAATAGATGTCACTCTGGTTGTTATGGAAAAATCATTAAGATTGGGATTAAGAACTTGTAACCCCCCGAGGTCATGTAGACACTCGTTATCATCACAATAGAGATAAACTCCAAAGCAATGGCTTGAAAATGTTGGTGATTCTTATGTTGTAACAGCAGGACTTCCTTTCAATCATTGATCTACATCTGTAATAGATGAGCCCTATGGAAGTTCTCGCGGGTTATGAAGACCTGCAACTTACTCTAAAAAGTGTCTGTGTCCTAAAAAATTCAAAACATTTGGGAGTGAGATTACTAGACATGACTTGATCAATGAATGTTCAGTGGCGTGGGGTTGTGGGCCACTGTAGTCAGTATCGGTCGCCTCATAAGGAGACGGTGACAAGAGATGAGGTTCCCCGTGAAATATGATTAAACACATGTCTGTTGGGAAACAGGTAGGTGGTCTTGGGCAGAGTTTTGCATGCGCCGTTTGGACAAAATGCAACGACTTCTACCCGGGATCTGAATAAATTCAGTCCTGAACCTATGGGGATTGTCCAGAGTATTTGAGTGACGGGGAGTAATTCTCTCGATTGATAGTACAATAGAGGTAGCAGATTTGATAGTGATTATTTTTCTCTTGCTCACTTGAGCTTTCTGCTTCCTCACTCTCATAGTGTTCACTCAGTTACTCACTCACTCTCGGCTTTGTCCCTTGGGTAGGCTTAGTTGGGTTTACTAAATCATTATGACTTATCTCTCATTTCTATTTGATCTTTTCTCTCCGTACTCCCCCTCAACTGAAGCATTCAGTAGGATGCCTTTCACGATGATTGACACTTGGGAGGAGAACTTTGAAAATCCCCCCTTAAAATCTGCATCCTTGAGAGAATCCTTGCATTTTACATTGTCTAGCACCAGGAGGAGAAAAATAAAACTCCCCCTCAAAAGTTGCAAGTTGTGTTGTTTGTTACCCGGGGAGTAAAGTAGAAAACTC